TCTGCTGCGGTGTCCAAGGGTCCTGCCGTGAGCCCAGGCAGGCACTGACAGCATTCTGCTGCAGGACAGCAGTGCCTGTGCCATGCAGGGTGGGTGACAGCACCCTGACAGCACTCGGGTTTTTGGGAGGGGCAGCTGGGATGTGACGCTGCATGGCTCAGCACTGAGCCCTGCTGATGCTCTTTGAGAAACTCCCATGAAAATCCACATTTCCAGCACCTCCTGGGAACATCAAAACTCAGCAAAATTATGCAGCCTGCTTTTATTTTTCCCCTTTTTGAATTTAATTTACAAAAAAAAAAAAGAAAAAAAAGAAAAACAACCAAAACTGTGCATCCCCCACAGTCGCCATCTGCCCCATAGAAAGTGACTCTGGCACGTTCCCCTCCAGGCAGCCCTTCCTGGGCTGCTCCATCCCCATGCCTGCATCCCCAGTGCCACACAGGGACCAGCCCTCACCCCTTCCATATCCACAAGCTCCAAGGGCAGCAAAGCTGCCATAAAACAGAAAACCTTGGGAAAAAAAACTCTTCCATTAACGTGTCCCTGGAGTAACCAGAGCCGGCCCCGGCGCACTGGGGCTCTCCATCACGGTGAATTAACGCACGCTCCCTGGATAACGTTGCAGAGTTTGGGGCAATCTGCATCTAACAGAGTTTCCCAAAGATATTAAGGGCTGGCAGGGATTTGGGTAAAAGCAACAGCTTTGCTTCGTGCTTTTCCAGGCAGATCATCCTTTCCCCTGCAGCTGCCTGTGGCAAGGACACAAAAAAGGGAAGAGAGATGAGAAGGAAGGCGTGGGATTCCCCCAACCTCAGCCCCAGCTCACCTCAACCACCTTCTCTATCCATGCTCTCACCAAGCTCTGGGCAGTGGGATGTGTGCAGGAAGGAGGTGGTGACCCAAACACACCATCTCAATCAGACCCCCAGATATCCCCATCTCTGCCCAACCCTCTGTCAAGCAGCTTTGGGAATGGCCACAAGCTTAATATTTATTAACCATCATAAAACCTCCATTCTGAGGCCCCAGGGAGCAAAGCTGCTGCAGTTCAAACTTCCGAGCCATTGCCTGGGGATGTGACCCCATGTCAGGGGGCTTTGCGTGGAGTAGGAACATTGGGATGCTGATGGCCCTTATTACTGCCTCGTGCATCCCTGAAGCATCCAGCCGTCCTGATGCTTTGGCCATCCAGTGGGTTCTTTCCCCCTGGTTCTGCCTACTTCACCTGCTTGGGATGAAAGATCAGCTTTGGAAGAGGGGGAGAGCAGAGGTCCTCACCATCAGTCTGTTTAACTGGCAGAGAGCACAAGGCTTAATTGAATTCAATGATTTAAGGGTTTCTTTTCTGCTGCAGAGGTGCTGAACAGCTGTGACCACGTCCCAGCTTCAGAGGGAGGGGTTTCTGTTCCCCACCATGCTGTCGCCCATCCTGAGCACCTTCACGGATAATTAATCCTTCATCCGAGCAATAAAAGAATACTTTCTCCCTGTTTTCCTTCCTTTTTGCAAATCAATTCCAGGCATCGGGAACAGCAGCTCCAAGCTCTGCAAGATTATGTTCCTCCAGGTCCGGGACCACAAGCAATGGATTCTGCACTCCCAGCTCCTCTGGTTGGCTCTGCCATTAGCCCGGCAGATTGCTCAATTAGTGGCAATTTGAAAACTGAGCTCGGACCCTAATGCAGAGCCCTGGGCTAATTGCGGGGTAATGAACCCCAGCCGGGCTGGCTCCCAGGCCTGCAGTTCTTGCTCTGAGGGATTTTGGCTATGGGTGCAAGCTGCTCCTCGAACCACTCCCCCCTCCCCAAGCAGTGCTGCAATGATGGAGGGCTGCGTGCCAAAATGCCTCTGCCGGGGGCTGTCAGCAGCTGAGCCCTCACTCGGGATCCTGTGCATGCAGGTGGCACATCCCAAGCACATCCTCAACACCACAGCCTCCCCTTGCCATGCCCATCTCCAGCACAGACGTTGATCTCCTGCCTCTGTCTCCAGAGGATCTGAGAGATTCGGGCTCTCCAGAGACCTGTGCAGGGCTCCGCCTCCCTTTACACCGTCCCCTGGGACCCATTCAGCCCTGGAAAGTCTGGCTCCAATAAACTTCAAAGCTTCCTCCATGCGCGGCCATTAGACAAAGTGTTTTTTTCATCTCCGTTTCGTGCTCAGATTCATTATTTCTGCTCCCTGCTGCCGAGGCTCCCCTCGAGAAACTGCCAAGGGGCAGAGCTGGGGGGCCAGGGGCTCCCTGCCATGGGGCAAGGTTTGCCGTGAAGTGCACAGATCTGATTTTCAGCTCTGCAGAAAGCAAAGCAAAAAACGGGGGGACTGCGCATGATGCATCCTCTGTGCAAGGAATTATCTTGCAAACGAGAGCACAGAGGGGCAGCAATGGGGGGGTGCTGTCTCCAGAGCTTGATATGAGCTCTGCGGATCCCCCGTGGGGCCGGATCCCTCCTTGCTTTGGGGCCAGCTCAGCTTCTAGTGGAAGATTCAAGGACATGAACTGCCACAGGGCTGAAGGACAGAGCTGGGGGCTGCCCAGCGGATGTCCCCCAGCCCCAGGCAGACAAAGAGCCTTTTAGAGGGCTCAGCCGAATGGGATGAAAATGCTCATAATTGGCTTTCTCAGCATCTTTCACCCTATGCTTTGTGATCTGGAAGAGCAGATGAGTTAAGGATGGGTTGGAACAGCCCCTGAGCTGCCTCTTTCCCAGTATCTGCAAATTAAACATGATGTGTGTCAGTGGGGAATTTGGAGAATCAATTGGCAGACAATTAAAGTGCATTGAGATCTGGGTGTATGGAGAAAGAGGCAGCAGAAAGCGTTGGTCTCGGAGAGGTCCTGGTCGTTAGCGGTGCCGGGGAATGAAGATGCTGGGACAGAGCCATCGGGGAAGTAATGCCTGGGGACTGGTGGAAATGCATTTGGCAGAGAAAGCCCCAATCCTTTTAGAAGCTCATAGAGCTAAAGGGAAGGGTTCAGGTGGTGTTTGGCTGGAACTCACATGGCAACTGCCGAAATCCTCCCCTTGGCTCAACCTCGGCCTTGGGCACAGCGATGGGACGATTGTGCCCATGAACATGAGGTGAAGGCATGAGGTGAAGGTGAAACTTTTTGCTTTTGCAGAATCCCTCAAAACACCCCCCAAAATCCTGCTGCACGTTGCTGAGATAACCGTTGCCAATATGAGCCCCAAGAGCCACTGCAGGACCCCAGCCTGGGGTCATGTCAGCAGCACAGAATCATAGAATACCCTCAGTTGGAAGGGACTCATAAAGATCATCCAATCCAACTCCTGGCCCCAGCACGGGGCCTCGCTGCCATTTGGGGACCAGGCGGTGACTCACAGTCCCATGGTTGCTGCGGTCCCCCCCCGGGCGCCAGCACTCTGCCTGCAGGACAAAAGCAGCCCAGCCTGACCTCAGCCGGCATTTTGGGGAGGTTTCTTTTCACGTCCGCTTCCACAAAGCATCGGATTGTTTCCTTCAGCGATAGCATTTCTGCCTCCTACAAAGGGGGGGGAAAGAGGGGGAGGCTCTTCTCCAGGGACTCCTGACAAGTGATAGGAGTGGCACTTGTGCCCACCACCTCCCTGCTGCTGCAGCACGGATCCAACCCTGTGCTGGCTGTGGCTGTGGGGTGCTCAAAGGGGACGCACAGAGGATGCTCTCCTTGTCCTGCATCCCCTGGGAAGAAAACCGGGTGCAACATTTCAGGGCTCCAGCACTGTGCCTCTGGAAGGATGCAGGCTCAAGGGGATGAAGTGACAATGGCAGAGATGGGGGACAGCACCAGAGAAGAAGGGGAATAAAAAGCACACAAACAGAATGCACACACATGCACACACGTCGCCGCAGCGGGAAGCGATCAATGCGGCCGCTGGGAACAGCCCGGCGGGACTGGGGTCACACAGACAACAGCAAGCACCTGGGACTAATTGCACTAAATAAATGAGCAATTAAGGATATTACAGGAAGACTAAAACATCCCAGACCTCTCCTTGACCCCCTCGCAGTTCCCCTGGAAACAGCCAGCAGGTCCAGGCTGCTCTGCTCGGCCGCTGACAGTGGGATGGGAGCTTTGGATCCCCCCTCCTTCCCCAAGATGTCAACCTGCTCCTGGGCCAGGGGGCACAGCAGGGCGGGCAGCTGCCTGTAGCAGGGTGAGAATAAGTGTTATTGTGTGAGGGACTGGCACAGAGAGACAGGGCAGGGTTTGTCCCTGTACAGAGGGAGTCCAGCATTGGAGGATTCCAGCTCTGCACAGTGAGTGCAATGTGGTGGTCCTGGTGTGAAAGCAGAAGGCTGGATTGAGTGCTTTGCTCTAGAGCTGTCCCCATAACGCTCAGAACCATTCACAGTGCATCAGCACTTCCCAGTGAAGGTTATTCCCCTCTGAGAGGACCCCAGCACCATAGACTTCTCCTCAAAGCCTGGCTATGTCTCCCCCAGACAAAGATTTTCTTTCTTAGTTTTGCTTTCAGTACACCAGGGACTGCTTCTGTGTCTTCCAGCATACCCACATCCCCAATAAAGTCACTCCCACCACCCAAAAATAGGCTCCAAAAGAGGACCCAGGGCTTCTCCACCACCCCTCTGCCCACCCTCATGTCTGTGCTAGCAGAGGGCAGCACCCTGCAGAGCTTGCTGTAACAGAGGGGCACAAATAGAAATGCTTTTAGAGCCCCTCTGCAATGGGGTGCATGGCAGAGTGCAGCCAGCAATGAATATAACATGAATGGCAGCACAGCAAAGCATTGATCACCACTGTGTTCGGGTGGTTGCACTCCTGGGGGGGGAGCAGCAGATGGATGGGAGAAGTGATGAAGGTGTCAAAAGAAAGAAAAAAAGGGAAGGGGAAAAGAGGAGAGAGAAGCCCCCAAGGCTGGGGGTAAAGATGACACATAGTGCTGCTTGGGATATGAGCAGCTGAGTGCATCTTCAGGTGAGCATGACTGTGCTGAGCTTTGGGAAGAGGAAAACCTCCTCATTATGCTCCTCATCATGTGATAGGGAATTAACAAGCAGTTAACGAGATAATGAGGAGGAGAGTTCAGCCCCTCCTGGGGCTATAAGTATAGATGTAGTGTCTGACCCTTATTTTTTGGTTTGTACGGCCCTGAGCATCGTAGAAGCCTTTGTCTGCAGTGCTGCAGTCTTCAGCAGTGGGAGATAAAGAGCAGAAGCTGAGGTATGGCTGAGGCTTTGGGTCGGTGCTGCTGTGGGATGGGTGCTGGGGGGGGTCCCTCCAGGCTGGGTTTTTCCTGCTCCCCCCCACATCCCCTTTGCTCTCTGAGCACATGCTCAGCCAATAGTCCATTTGTTGGGAAGGAAATAAAAATGTATCCAATTAAAAAGCTGATAGCCACAACGAGAAGAGGGTCAGTGGTTCACTGCTAATGCAAGCAGATTTTCTTCTGATTCATTAAGTCATTAACTCCCTTTTAATTGGAACTCCTTTATGGGGAATGCATTTTACCTTTACAGAGAAAATGGGAATTGAGCAACGGAGTAAACCCTGCTTGCAGCACGCTGTGCTGCTGGGGAGCCAGGTACCTGCTGCTGGGAGCTCTGCTGGAGGCTCAGGATCACATCCTGTGTGTGTTCCAGCGGCAGGATCTGCAGCAGACCCCAAAGCACAGCCCTGTGGGGTAGAGGAATGAATAGAAAGGGATGTGGATGAGGCTCCATCCCTTCCCCTTTTCTGGTTTTTTTTCAGCTAAATTGGGGAGGTGGGGGGGAAGGAGCTGGGGAATGGCTGGATGGTGTGAGGAAGGAGCTAGGAAATGGTTGGGTGGTGTGAGGAACATAACAGGGCTGTTGGTTTTGAGGGCCACAGCGTTCCCTTGCTCAGCCCCAGCTTCCTAGGGCTGCTGGCCGGCAATTAGCAGCCATTACAGCCTCGCTGGGAGCAGCACAGGGATTAATGCAGCTGCTTTCAGCCTGCTGTTCTCTGCCACCGAGGAGGAAACTTTGTTAAGCAGCGATAAGCATCGAGAGCAGCATCCAGGCCAGCAGAGCCAGCCTGGCCCCGGTGCCCGCGGCTCTGCCGGACTCTGGGAAGCCCAATGTTTCCAATCCAGCCACATGGGTGGTTGCTACAAGCGGCTTCACCCCAAAATGTTGCCTGTTGGGATTAAGTGTAATCACAGCTTGCTCCAAACCCTCCAGGATTTTCCAGCCTCAGACTCAGCACAGCTGTGCCAGGCGGGTTTGCTTCCCCGGGGTGAATCAGGTGAAGTTGCCCAAATGAAAGACAGGCTCAATTTTAAAGCAGATTAATTAAACTGCATTAAGGCCCTGTGTGGACAGAGTTCAGAATGAAAACAGCCTTTAACTCGATTTCTCTGACTTGCAAATTGTGGCAGGGAAGTCAGCTGAAATCACATTAAGGCTGTTTCCACTCTGAACCGTGTCCTCACAGGGGTTTAATGTAGTTTAACTAATTTGATTTAAATGCTCATTGAGATTAACTGGGTTACATGCCCTGTGTGGGGCTTGGATCTGCTTGGGCTCGGGTCTGGGCAGGAGGAATGTGGTAGCAGTCTGAGCCCCGTCCTGTTGTGTGCAAACCAAAAGCACATTTTGGGTTGGAAAAACTGAATTTCTGCTGAAAGCAATTCTCTCATCTGAAGGATGTCGTGAAACAACAACAGCAACGCACACGTGGAAATGGAGGTGGCTCAGGGAATGCATCGATTGCAAAAAGAATGAGGGGGGGAAAAAAGGAAACAAAAGCGAAGTCATCGTGCACAAATACCCTCTGCTCAGTGGTTTTTGGCTGCAAGGCTTAGGGCAGGACTGCAGCAGCTTGGGATGCACACCCCTGGGGCTGTTGGCCGATGGGCACTTGAATTCTCCGGCGTTTGCACATCTCATGCCATACATTTTTTTTCTGAGAGCACTCAGGGCTGGGGGACGCTTGGGAGGCTGCACAAGAGGAGGCTTTTTGTTCCTGACATCGCCACGGCTGCATCGCTGGAGGACAATGAGCCGCTTCTTGCAGCCTGGGCTGGCATCTTGGCTTACTAAGGTTTTGCCCTGTGGAGGAATGTTCCCCTAAAATACAGTGGATGGCTGCAGCAGCGTTAAAGACTCCAATGAAGGTGACAGCTTGCAGTCCTGGGAAAAGGGAATGCTGCCTTTGCTGCCTGTTAGTGGGATTGAGCCCTGTGTTGCTGCAGTACGAAGCTCCACGGCCTCGTTCACATCAATCCCTGGGGTGCAAAGAGGTGTCAAACGCTTCTGGCTGCTTTGCGGAGAGGAAACGCTGCTTTTCCGGCAGTGAGCAGGAGGTCTGTGGGGGTTTAGTGCAGCTGTTGTGCGCTGTGATGGCTTTCAGATCCTATCCTGTCCCAAGCGCCGATCGTGGCTCAGGGCTGATGATGCCGGATGGTTTTTATATCTATCTGCCATTTCAGGCTGTGTTTTTGCAATGAGGATGGATTTTCCCACTGAGTTGCACTGGGCTTGAGATGCTGAGTGTGGAGACTGCAGCTTCAAAATAAGCAGAAGAACACAGAGCCTCCATCCCAGCTCCGGAGATGTAATTCCCTATCCCCACTGGGAGAATTCAGACTTACTTTCATCCCCCTGAATTTAGAGGCTGGATCAGGGACAATGGGAAACGTGCTGTGTCCTCAACACCGTACAGCAGCACTTCAGCCGGTGCTGCTGCTAGCGTCACCCTGCCTGAAGTGCCCTCCGGCTGTTCCCTGCACAAAGGGCCCATTTTCTTCCAGTTTTGCCATTTTTGAAAGCTGCCGCTGAGCCTTCGCCCCATGGGTGTCACCAACCCTGGGCCGGGGGAGAGGGGGTGGAGCATAAATGGGGTCCAGCAGATCTCCTGGGGGATTCAGATGCCCCATTGTGATTCAGGGGGGACGTTGGGGATTATTGACAAACCAGCTCATCGGTGATCACCCCAGTGCTGTGGTTTGCACTGTGGTTTCTGGGACCTTTCCCAATTATCGCCATTTTCACGTGTTGTTTTCCCTCTTTGGGAAATGCTTGTTTTGCATGGTGAGGGAAAAGGAACGGAGCAGCATAATCTGCAGCAGGGGACGTGCCCATAATGGATGCACGGTGTGGAGCCATCCTGGCCAGTGGGATGCTCACAAATCCTGAGTTTAATGCCTGAATTGTGCCCTAGTGAACCCCACGCTGACAAGCATAAGTATCATGGTGTTTATAATGGCTTTGTCGCGGGTTAAGAAGGTATTTGATGAGGCGAAGCAAGACAAAGACCTCCTGGGGCGAAGTCATCCTTTGGGTAAATGCCAGCGCTGGTGAAGGGAGAAGACTACATCTCCCAGGGTGCCCTACGGCCATCATGGCCGCCAGATTGTGCGGTGCTAAATACTACCAATCCCAGAATGCAACGCTGTCCAACATGGCTTACCAAAAGTGCTTCCGGAAGACTACATGTCCCAGCTCCTGGCTGGAGGACTACAGCTCCCAATACGCTGTCACGTTCCGACAGGCTTGGCCCAGCAGAGGTGTGGCCCAGTCAACGGCGGTGACATCGCTTCTGCCGCCCGCTCCTCGCAGCGCTGCCGCTCCGGGTCTCTGGAGGGAGCAGCAGCTCACCCAAGGCCTACTGGGCGCCTCAGCAAGGGGTAGTGCGCATGCGTCGGGCCGCGACGCGCGCGCGCAGCCTCACTGCGCATGCGTTCTTCGCGCAATCGGCGCGCGAGTTTTCCGGGCGCAGCAACGCGCATGCTTGCCATTCAGGCAGACGGCACCGCGCTTGCGCGGCAGCAGGGCAGGGCGAGCGGCTGTTTTGCGCATGCGTCCCGCCGTAGGGTGGAAGCGCCCATGCGCGGAGCCGCGCGCTCTGAGGCTGAGGAGCAGCCGCTGCCTCGCCCCGCTCCGGGCGGCAGAGGGCAGCGCTGGCGCGGAGCTCTGTGGAGAAGCGAAGTCTTTCTTGTCTTTGCGCACTTGGGCTCCGCGCTGACTGACTCATAAGAACGCTCGAGGCCCAAAGTGAACGTGATTTTATTGTCTGTCGGTTCTGGATGTTCTGGGGTGAGTCATTGCGGGTGATCTAAATGTCCCAGCGTGGTACGTTTAATGTGTAAAAGCACAGATTTCAGCACGTATATAATGGTGAAGGTTAGGGGGGAGGGGAAGGAGAACAACCACAGACAGCTGCACCTGTGCAAAATGACAGCGCGGGGCTGCAGTCACCTCTTCATCTCAGCCTGCTCTGCCCACGGAGGGTGGGTGGGATCGTTCCCTCATGGGATGCTCTGCTGTGCTGGGCGTGGGATGGAGGAGCTTTGGGTTTGGGTAGTGAGACCCCCCCCACTGCCAGCTGAGAGGAAAACGACTGCTTTCACATATAGAGGAGGGCAGCAGGACGGCTGAATGGAAACAGGGTTATGCTGGGAGTGTAGAACCATGAGGTGGTTAAGAATCATTGAATGATTGGGCTGGAAGAGACCTTAAGGATCATCAGGTTCCAACCTTGTGCCGTGGGCTGGCTGCCCCTCAACAGATCAGGCTGCCCAGAGCCCCATCCAGCCTGGCTTTGGAGACCTCCAGGGATGGGGCACCCATGCTTCTCTGGGCAGAAGTGCCAGAGGCTCATCCCCCTCTATGCAAAGAATTTCCTCCTTTCATCCAACCTAAATATCCCCTCGTTTAGTTTAAAACCAGCTCTCCTTGTCCTATCGCTATCAGACTGTGTAAAAGGTCAGTCCTTCTCCTGCTTGTAAGCTCTCTTCAAGTGTGGGAATGCCATGATAAGCTCTTCCTGGAGCCTGCTCTAACCTTAACATGCCCAGCTGCCTCAGCCTTTCTTCATAGGAGAGGTGCTCCAGCCCTTTGGTCATCTTCATAGCTCTCCTCTGGAGCCACTCCAACAGCTCAGCGTCCTTCTTGTGTTGGGATTGAGTTGGGTTCCAGTTCTCACCGTGTCCTGACGTTCAGTAAGGCAAGCAGCTTCAGCTTTAAAACCAGAAGAGTGTTTTTTCCCTCTCATTCAAGCTAGTCATGTAGAAAACTCCGTGTAACACTTTAAAGAGGTACTGAATGCCAGCACTTGAGGTGCAAATCTTCACTGACATCTTTTTGGTCATTTCCGTAGAGAAGGTTATCAATTCTAGGGATGATCTCAAAGGATCTCCAAGGACTTGGTCCATGCTTCATGAAAAAGCATCTACGAGTACGGAAGACAGTGTTGATTTGCAATGAGCATGCTGCTAAATGACATCAGGGCAGGGACCTCTTTGGCACAACAGTCTAACCTTACTGCCTCTCCAATTTCTATTAGGCTACATAAATTAGATCTGTACAGAACAATTATTCAAAAGGGATCATCCTTCCAGAAAGTAGGAAAACCTAATTATTTCTTTACTATACGAAAACTCCTTCAGGTTAGCAGTCTTGAATGCTGTTTGTGAACAATGACTCATATGCTTCTGCTCTTAAGGGAGGTGATCAGAGTTTATTTTGCGAAGTTTGGCAGGCAGATTATCTTCCAATTTCATCTTCAGAGCACGCATACTTTTAGGCATCTTCTGGACTGAGTCTAAGCTTCAGCATTCATTTTTAAGGCTTTCAGCTGTATCCTGTCATCACCGTCTTCACCGTTGGAGATGGAACTCATTTCTTGAATATTCAGGAGATCCCCAGTACTGCAAGTCTTCCCTGCGTTAGCAGAACTCATTCTGAGGACTCTTTTTGGAAGGTCTTCCTTTCTTGAGCTAATCTTCTGAAGTTTAAGAGGGAGTTTGTTTTTTTCTTCTGCGATATCAATGCAGTCAAGTGAACAAACCTTTTCTTTTCTGCTTTTGTTGTCAACAGGACTATTCCAAGGGGACGACAGAGACAGGTTTTCTTCTTGCTCTTTGACGCTGTAAGGAGGAGTGGGGACTTCAAATGTAGCATGAAACTGAGAATAATCGACACGGAAAAAGCCATCTTCCAGGGACATCACTGGGAGGAATCTGTGACCCCAAAGAACTTCATCTTCCGTATATGAGGTCCTAGCTTGGCAAGTCATTCCTGTGGAGGCAGAGACAAGAGAATGACGTTGTAACATAAGCAAGTGAGTAGACCAGGGGTGCAGCTTAGGACAAGAGTCACATAAGAATGCTGTGCTCCTCTACGTGCCTGCAGAGGCCAGCTAGGAACTGGCAGAGAGTGTCTCAAATGTATTCTATTCTTAAATCAGTAGTGCAGAACCCTATGGCTAAGAAAGCCATTTAGCATGGTGCAGACCAACGAAGGTTGATATCTTATGGTAGGATGTTACAGAACATTCAAGGATCAACAACTGCCAAGACTGAAGACAGAGACTTACAATTAGAGCACACGTGTCACCACGTTGCCGTGTCTTACCTGTAGTCTCCACAATTCCTTCAAGGATGACAACTATTTCAAACTGCTCGCTTCTTAGTGATCTTTGTGAGAGACAGAAAAAGGGGCTCTTTGAGTTAATTTCATGACAGATCGTTAATGGAGAAACCAAGAACAGCTGGTCAGCTCCAGTTCCAAATCCAACGTCCAGCTCACACTGGTCTAGTGGCAGAAATTCCCCCTCTGGTGTCTGTCGGGACTAGAGATGGAAAGACAGCTCAGTAAGCACTGTGTGAAGCAAAACACAAGGAGCAATGCAATGGAATTTAAAACTGCCTCTCTGCTAACATTATTAGTTCTGCATTGGGTCATTGTATAGAGATAGTGCTTTGCATGTGAAGTTGATGAATACGACCAGTGTTGGCATTTGTCGTGCCACCTCATGGTCTCATCATCATCTACAGACTTCATTGTGCCATTATACGTGTTTTACAAATCACTGACAATAATATCAGGTACCACACTTTCCTCCTTATGGCAGATACTTGTTATGGACATCTTGCAGCAAAAGTTCCCATTGGTGAGAACAGAATCAACAAGTTACGCATGCTTTCATGAATTGTTTGGATTTACATTACATTATTTTTGTATTTTCTTTTGCAGAAACTGTGATGTACATGCAAGGACTTTAAGGTAAGCAGCATAGTAATGGCAAAGCACATCTGGTGAATCTCATTTGCACAGAGTTGTCCAAATCAATGTTACTGATGATAATGCTAATGATGCTTCCCTTCCCAATTACTACATGCCACGTACCACATGGTATTTCTTATTGGTGTAATTCAGCTAAGTTCCCCATTTGCATCATTTCATTGGTCTATTAAAAATACTGATGGGTTAGGTGTTTTTTTGTTGGTTTTTTTTCTAGCTTCCTAAAATTTTCCTAGCATTCAAAACAACTGAGAACATGCAGCAGTTGACCAGGCAGGTCCTCCACTGATGGCTTCAAACTGCTGGAAACCGATTGTTAAAATTAAAGCTTTGCAGAGCCTATTTAAGATCCTATTATTTAAAATCCTTTCTGTTTTATTGCTCGATTAGAAAGCACGTGATTGTTTGAGAAGCTTATTATTGATCATGAATGAGAGATAATTGCGTAGCTGCTAGTTTGTTCTGTCTGTTTTGATAAATGTGTTGGTTCCATTACGTGGAAACTCCGTCCATTAGTGATAGGGAACAAGCTGAAGCAAGCAGTTTTGCTGTTGACTCCAATCTAATAGGTTTTCTTCAGGGGAAAGAAAGTTTCTATCTTTAACAACAACAAATCCCAAGCAACAGCTGTACTTTGAGATTGTCTCTCTGATTTCTGGTGTATTAAAAAAGCTGAATATCTCACTGCCTGGCATTTACTGTGATTCCTGAACCAGTTTAGATAGCTGGTGGAGTACTGAGCCTTACTCACACAATACAATACAATGCATTGTTTTATTTATCTGTTATGTGTTTGGTATTCTGCTCAAATAAGTAAATAAATGTATCTCCTCCTAAATAACCGAAGTTGTCCCTTAGGTAAGAGATGGTTTCTCCACGGCTGAGGAGGACAAGGGACACATCAGCTGACTGCTTGTAAAAGCGTTCTCAGGTATTACAGTGCTTTGAAAGGTAACACAGAGCAGTAGGAAATAAAAAGGGATCAACCCCCCCTGCTACTTACGATTGTGACACTGTTACATGCAAAGGTGCAATCAAACTACTGCAAAAATATCCCTCATCTTTTTTTGAGGGAAGCTGCAGTTCCAGGCTGCAGACAACACTGCTGTTTTTGTTGCCTGGCTACTGTTCAGCAGGTGCACAGCTGGCAGCATACAGTTTTTGCTCCAAGGCAACAAGGCTTAACATGAACTGTATGAACCACACGTGAGCCTGAAATTTCCCCAAAGTTTTATAGAATGCTATTACCAAAGATGTGCATATTTGCACAAATCACTGCCTGAATGATCTGTTTCCATCTGCAAACAGTTTTTCTCTGGGGAAAAGTCTACTGAGTTGATTTGATGGAAGTAAACAAATCCGGTGAGGATGATTAGAGGTAACAGACCTGGGAGGAAAGCAAAAGGTTGTGCTTGAGGTATTTAGCACCTGCACACGGGACTGATTTATGCAGAGCATGGAGAATTTTGAAGAGGAGCTTATTTGTTAAGTAAAAATAAACGATCCTAAACAAAGAGTTTCACAGCTCTCACACGTTAAGACTTCCAGCCATCAACCTCTGTTGCACACAGCTGTGCTCAGAGGAGCACAGAAGGCAGCACAGGACTGTAAACTGCCAGCAGTTTGGAAGGGACACTGAGATTCTTTATTTTGACCTCACACAAAGCCAGATAACTTTCACAGATGAATGCACCAGGACACAAATAGTTAGAAATGCCCCAGCTTTGATTTTCAGTGTGACAACAGTTGGGAAATCCAAAGGTCTACGTGAGTTGCACCAAAGGTTATTTGCCTCACAGTTAAGAAAAAACCCAAACTCCTTAGGTATGTAGATTCATTCATCTGTACCTTTCTGCCACTGGATTCTACATTCCTCAGCTTTCCAAATCAAATTCTCCTATGCTACCAGCTGAAAAACTCTATGGAAAGCTGTCACACCAACATTATGATGGTTATCAGTGAAATCTACTGAATATCCTAGGACGTTTGTGATGCCACTCAGACAGACTTAGATTGGTGTACTTTTTTATTTTAAAAAAACAAAGGTAAGACCTCCATTACTCCAACTGAAACATGAAGCTTAATACTAAATACAGCTCCTATCTCAATGGCAAAGTGGGGTAAGGCACACTCCTTCACATTGTGTGACACAAGTAAACATCTTGCTATCTAATCCAACACAGGAGTGTAGCAAGATCAGCTGTCAGCAGCACTGCAGGAAGCACAGCCAAAAGCACAGAGCACAAAACAGGCAGGACTTGCTACAGAGAGATGGTTTGGGAGTTACATCACATCCATCATGGGCTTACAGGATGCACAAAGGAAGCTGCTGCAAAGCAGCTGATGTAAATTCATCTGCTGCTGGAACAGCTGCTGCCTCTGCTGGGACAGCATGTCCTGTTCAAGGGGCACCTCGACAAACTGGTGAGGATTTAGAAGGCTGAGGGCTACTGTGGGCTAGAAGACACCACTTGTAGTGGGCATTGAGGGTGCAGCTTGTGCACGTTTACTTGTAAACATTCTTGTGGCAATAGCTTTGATTTGCCAAAGGTCGCCAAGAAGCTTGAAGACAAATCAAGGGCATTGGTGATCATTTGTAAGAGCTGTAAGAGCTCAGGTATTACTCAGGGATTCACTGCTTAATGTGTGAAACAACTATTGTAAGATGAATCAGTCCTTATCAAATGCTCTCCTGTTTTCTCTACAAACCAGCATTGTGCAGCGATAGAATTATTAGCAGTGCACCAGGCTGTGTGTTCAGTGTGTCATTTCAAAAGAAGTTTACAGTGAATTGCCATCAGTGTAAAAAATCACAGCTGTGAAACTGCTCCTGTTCTGCTTTGACTTGCATTCCATCTTGGATGATGGCCAGAAACAAATACTTTAAAGGAGGATTTCTGATCATTTTCGGTGCTAGAAATCAGCAAAAATAATGGATTATCTGGCTTTCTGATTCCTACAAAAATGCTCCATTGTAATTCTCAGCAGTTCTTTTTCATGTACAAATCCAACCGCTTTCTGAATCTTAGTAGAGCTCCATTTTAAAAGGAATTCTTTGACAAGAAAAATTAGCAGCTAAGTCAAGCATTCAGCACAAAGCAGAGGAAAAGCAGTCCTTCACATTTACTGTTGTCTTATCAGCTACTGTATCAGGCTTGTTTCTGCAGATTATTAAAATGGCCAAGCAGTTGCTCCGAAAAGAGGATTACCACAGAGAACATGAAACATTTATGACATTCATATTCTGAAATTAACATAATCATCAGGATTCAGCTGCTGATGCAGCCCATCAGGCATGCCCCTGTGACAAGACACAGCTGCTCTGAGCTGTTCTGTTGCTTCCTCTCGACATGCCACTCAACCACACAGTATTTTCCTCCTATTCTATTCTTGCCCAGTGTATCTGAGGTCTCCCATGGCTGCCAAACAGTTCTGCCTTCTCTATTTATCTATTAGTTGAATTTGAGTTCCAGTCCTTTTTTTGCATTCTGAATTATGCTGACCCTTGTCAGTGCTTAACAGATAGATAGCAGTGAAAATCAAAGGCTTTTCCACTCAAGCTCTGCAGTGCTGGAAGGCCACAGGCAGGACCCATGGGGTAAGGAACTACAAGTGAAAGCCCCCCTGAGGGACAAAAAGGGGGTTCAGAGCAGCTTGGCTGCTCTTGGGGCAAGTGGTTTCTCTCGACCTGTGCTCTCCCAGCATCACCCACCACAACCTGCTGCCTCATCCTGCTTCCAATTCCAGGCCTCACCTTGATCAGCTTGCAGCGGATCTGGGCAGAAACCATGTGGCTGTTGCGGAGGTTGCCGACCCGGAACATGAGGCAGAGCTTGCCATCCCGCTGCGAGACCACTGCGGCACGGCTGAACATGAGGGTCTCAGCTCTCTTTTTGGGCTGCGACATCTTGATGAACATGCAGCCGATGAGGAACGCGTCGACGATGGAGCCCAGCAGCGACTGGAAGAGGAAGAGCACGATGCCCTCAGGGCAGCGCTCGGTAATGTAGCGGTGCCCGTAGCCAATGGTGGCTTCGGTCTCTATGAAGAAAAGGAAGGCGGAGGGAAAGTTGTACACGTTGGCCACGCACGGACTGTAGGTGTCATCGTGTGCCCGGTGCAGGTCGCCTCGCAGGTAGGCAATGCCCCACCACATGGAAGCCATGACCAGCCAGGCGACCGTGTAGGTCAGCAGGAAGATGAGCAGGTTCCAACGCCATTTGAGATCCACCAGCGTGGTGAAGAGGTCGGAGAGGTAACGGCTGCTCTCACCCCCCAGGTTCCCGTGTTGCACGTTGCAACGCCCGTTCTTGTCCACAAAGCGCTGCCGCTCTCTGCGGCTACCGGCAGCGGCAGGGCCCACCGCCTGGTACTCATCGCCGAACTTCCTCCTCACTGCAGCCATGCCCTCGCCGGGATGTGGGATGCAGGGATTCCCGTTCAGCCGGAGCCGCCGCCAGCGCTGCCCGCAGCCGACGGGAGAGCCGGGCCGGTGGGCGGCAGCGGGGCGGAGCGGAGCTCGCTGGGTCCCAGGGGATCGGGATGGCAGTGAGGTTTCCCCCCCCCAGCGCCTGGCAGCCCCGCTTTGGTCCACGCAGCCGGCGCCCTGCTGTATCCCAACCTCGTCTCGCTGTAGCAGCCGGGTAGCGGAGTGAGAATAATGACGGGAGCGGCTGCCAGGCATCCGCCGAGAGGCCGAGCTGCCGGCAGCTCCGGGATTTTAAAGGGAATTCCTGAAATAGGTCAGCGTTTAAAGGGATGCGATCATGCTAATGCTTAGCCCGAGTTTAAATGAAAATAAAGATTGCAAAGGCAAACGAGGTCTTATCTATCAGAATTAGATAGTAATTACATCTACGAGTTGTGCATTTGTGTTTACGGTCCAATTAGCAGAGATGCTGTTCAGAAGAGCTCCCTAAGAGCTTAAGTGATTTTAATGCAGTTCTCATGTTTTTTAATGGACAGAAAAGATCCGAAATTGGCAATTATTAATTGTGTTAGAAGCTCTAATTGGGGTTAGGCTAGTGATTTTTATTGCCCGGCATATTAATATTTAAAAAGTGTTTTTCCCTCCTCAAAAATAATTAGTATTTTAATTCTCAGTTACATAAGAGCAGCACTGTAATTCAAGTCACTCATTCCAACACCTGATTTTTGGCAAATCATTCTCATTATAAGATAGTGGCCGGTGTTTATTGGCATTTTTAGAAAACAGCCTATAATCACTGGTAATTGTGTGTTGCTTCAGTTCTGAATGAGCTATTAGTGTGTGCAGAGTTTAATGTCAGTGTTTTACCGTGTGCTACAGAAGGATCTTTAAGATGTTCACACCACACGATAGAAGCCTGTTTGTTCCGTCTTCAGCCCTGGGGAGCAGTGTCTGCATTTCTTTTATTGTTCTCTCACTCTGCAATGTCTTCCATCACCCATCTCCTTAAAGGAAAACAAAAATCCCCCAAACCTCTCAAACGTCCTCAGCCAATCCTTTCCACAGCAATATGCAAGGACAAAACACGTCAGCCCTGATGGTTTAATGATTATTAAGATATTAGGGATCATTGCTCTTCTTTCTCTCTCTCTTTTTTTTTTTTTAAACTCTTCCTCTATCTCTGCATGCTACATCTAAAGTCAGATTACAAGTATGTGGGGGGGGAGCATTATTTTGGATGTTGCTTGCTGTCAGTGACATAAATCCCACTTTAGACAGATTCAGCTTAACTAGATGGAGTTTATTTAGAGATTATGGGTTACATTCGTACAAAGGCTGTAGACATCAAAGTTGAAACTGAGGTTTTCTAAAATTCCTGCCTCACTTATTGCCGGTTCTGCATGCTTTCAGGCTTTCGAAGATGATGGTGGTCACCCAGTTCAAAAGAAGAGGGATTCAGTTTCCTTGAAGGTGAATCTCCAGCTTGTGGGGGAAGCACGCTGCTCAGTGCAGGGGCTGCTTGCACTGCACAAATGCAGCACTTCGTGCCTTATTCAGCAATGCACTCATTGCTCACCGCTACGTGTGCTGGTGAAGCTGTATTCCAGAACAGCAAGATTGCTCTATAATGAATACAGCAGGATGGGTTTGAGGTTAACCAGCAGTAGACCCGTGCAGCTTGTCTGTAGATGCCACCTTCGGTCGTGGCCAACCTCATGTTCTTGTGTTTGAAGGAGGTTGTGCCCCCACATTGTGCCAGGGGAGGTTCAGGTGGGGCATTAGGGACAATTTCTACTCCAAAGAACAGTCAGGCACTGGCAAAGGCTGCCAGGTGATGAGGGGGGTCACCATCCCTGGAGGTATTCCAGAATGATGGGGATGTGACACTTGGGGCCATGGTGGGGGTGGGTTAGGGTTGGACCTGGGGATCTGAGAGGTCTTATCCAGCGTTTATGACTCCGCTGCTCTTCACAATGCTGGGCAATGAACACCCCAGCTACCAGCATAGGTTTGACCTGTTGGAGAGCAGCATAGAGGAAAGGAACCTGTGGGTACAGCAGGGTGACCCTTACAGCACTGTGCCCTTGTGGTATCCTGGGGTGCGTTAGCAGGGCTGAGGTTAGCAGGGAAAGATCGATTCTCCTCCCCTTTCCCCTGCCCTGGTGAGACCGCATCTGGAATATTGTGTCCAGTTCTGGGTCCCTCGATTCAAGAAGGGCAGAAAACTGCTTGGAGAGCCGATAGCAGAGCCACAGAAAGGATGAAGGGAGTGGAGCATCTCCCTGACGAGGGAGCTGGGGCTCTTCAGCTTGGAAGAGAAGGAGGGGTGACCTCATTAATATTTATAACTATGTAAAGGATGTGTGTCGGGAGCATGGAGCCAGGCTCTTCTCAGCGACATCCAACGACAGGACGAGGGGCAGTGGGTGCGAGCTGGAACACAGCAGGTCTCACATGAGGAAAAACTTCTTCACAGTAAAGGTAACAGCACCACGCGGGCTGCCCAGAGAGGCGGCGGGCTCTCAAAGCCCTCGTCTTGAGGGCCTTTCCCACCGCCCCCCCGGCAGCTCGGGGGAGGGGAGGAGGGCGGTGCGTCAGCGGCTCTCGGAGCGCATGAGCGCGGCCGGCAGCGGAGCGCGGGAGGCGGGAGCTGCTCCGTCGGGACGGGCAGCGCAGCGCAACGCGGGGCTTCGCGCCCACACCGCAGGTAACGGCTGTGACGCTGAGGGACCGCGGCGCCGCCATTTTGCGGGCGGGCGGGGCCGGGCTTTGAGGTGCGGGGATGGGCTGATGGACGGGGCAGCGCTCGGGGCGGCCGAGAGGCGACTGCAGAGCACGGCTGAGGGTGCGGGGGTGCGGGGATGGAGCGGGGCGTGCGGGCGGAGCGGGATGGAGCTGTGCCGTGCTGCAGCCGCCGTCCGTTCCGAGCGATCTCTCCCCTCGCTGGGCTGATGTCCGCCTTCTGGCGTGAGCAGTTCCCCCCCTCGGCCCTGTAGGTTACAGGAGCCCGCCGTAGGCTGAACCGCAGCAGGTTCGTTCCCTCAGGTGGTGGCTGTGCCGTCGCTGTGCCCGTGGGCAGCAGGCCTCGTCCAGCAGAGCGCTCTACAAAACGACTTAATGGCACGGGGTGGGGGGATTTAGGCAAAAAGGGCACTTGAGCCCATGCGCAAAAAGGGCACTTTGGTTTTTCAGCCTCCCTTGCAACGTGCCGAGTGCCTGGGGTTGAGTTTAGTGCCTTGAGAACACCAGCAGTTAATGGCTGGGCGCGGGATGCACGGCATTCCTTTGAGCGTTCAGCCCAGCAGCACAGCCTGTGGTGGGGTTTTACAGAGCATGGGATCGTCCCTTGGGAGAAACATCCATTCTAACACCAATCCGGTGCCCCACAGTTCTCTGTTGGGTTTTTGAGATGTTAAAGCAGTTTTCCAGGCTCCTGGGCAGGATGCTTTTGGATTAAGAGTCTAGAAGACAAGTTTGTTTGCTTTGGTTTTGGTGTGGCTGGGGGAGGCACGTATTCTAACAAAGACAGCAGGCAATTAAAGTTGACTTTATTGATGATCAGAGAACACGTTAAGTAAATGTCAAGTGAAATGGAGTAGTGAATGAACCAAACTGGTTGAATCAATTGGGTGTATGTTTGTTCCGGCATGAAGTGAGGGACAGAGGATGGAACGTGCTTATTTCTGTAAAGCAGTGTGTAGTAGAAACAACCTTGAAAGTTAATTAAATAAGTGTGTTGCTTTGATGATCAGAGCACTGGAGCAGCTCTCCTATGAGGAGTGGTTGAGGGAACTGGGCTTGTTCAGCTTGGAGAAGAGAAAGCTCCAGGGAGACCTCATGGTGGCCTTCCAGTGCTTGAAGGGAGCGTATAAACAGGAGGGGGAACGGCTGTTTGTGAGGGTGGATGGTGACAGGACAAGGGGAATGGTTTTAAAGTGAGACAGGGGAGCTTGAGGTTGGATATTATGGGGGAATCTTTTGACCCAGAGGGTGGTGAGGCACTGGAGCAGGTTGCCCAAGGGGGCTGTGGATGCCCCATCCCTGCAGGCATTCAAGGCCAGGCTGGATGTGGCTCTGGGCAGCCTGGGCTGCTGGTTGGTGACCTGCACACAGCAGGGGGTTGGAACCAGACGAGCACTGTGGAGCACTGTGGTCCTGTGCAACCCAGGCCATTCTATGATTCTATGATTCAGTTTTGCTCTTTGAAATGTAAATTTTCCAGAGTCATTTGCCCTCCAGAGAAGTCAGCTATAAAAGCATCCAATGGAATTTTTTTTGTACAACGGATTTTTGTAGTCAGCTGTAATTTTTGTAGCATCCTTATTACCATGCCCAAGGTTGACTCCTGCTAGCTTTAATGAGTTGCTTCTAATTGTAGCACGGCCTGCATTGGAATGCCAGAACATCTCATGATAGCATCATCCTGCACACTCTGTTCCTGTGCATGTGGTGCTGATCAGTGTTTTCAGCCTTCCATTCTGTATCGTGCTTTCTCTTTTCATTTTTCAATGACTCTTTAGGCCTTTTAAAACTGTGGCTCTCTTGAGAGTAGAACAGGGAAGCATCTGTTCACTTTGCCATCAGCTTTGTACAAGATGTTATTATATAACACAGTATCTTACTTTATTGTGTGTTATTGCATGCACGGAACAACTGCAGGGTTGTGCCTGACTCAGGTTATACCAAACAGAAAAATGTATAGTGGTAAATGACTGCTTTTACATGATCTCCCTTTTTCTCACGTGCTTGAACTTAGATTTTTATTCTTTGCTGATTTCAGAACTGCCTCTGACTCTCAGCCAGAAAGAAGAAGCAGTCGTGTTGATTTAAGTTGAACATTTGTGTCTAAGATTACAAACAAAGCCATGCCAGTGCTTTCGGAAGACTCAGGTAATGAATCTGCACGCTTTCAACAGAGCAGTGACTGAAACCCTGGTGTGTGTGTGCTTTTCATGCAGGAAATGAACTCACACTGCAGTTAAATAAGATAGAATGAAGATGGTTCAACTAGATTTCATAGCAGTTCACCTGAAGGAATATACAGGGGCAGAGGAGTGTGAAAAATGGAGCTGAACGAAGTTATTAAGAGTTAAAAGGTGCCTAGAGGTAGAAAGAACAGGATAATGTTTGCAAGCAGAGTACTTTGGGAAGCAGAGCTGATGGCTGTGCCACAAAGGCAGTGGTTCAGTGATCTTCCATGTCTGTTTTGGAACTGTGATAACTTCAGGTTTGTCAGAGGATTGGCCACTGCAGAAGCAAAGGTAATACGTGAAGGGGAAAACATCAAAAATAGTGGCTTTAAAAGGTGTTGCTTTTGTAGCTTTGGCTGTAATGTGATGTGTGTTGTATCTCAAGATGCATTTACTGCTTAACAAGGAAGCATTAAAAATGACTGGGCGACAAGCACCCACCTCTGTGCAGACAGTAGCAATCAAGATGGTACCCAAGTAGATGTAGTTGACATTAAGCCTGCAGTAGAGGGACCTTAAGATGTGCTTTCTACAAAATCTTTTGTTCTGTCTTGAATTTAAACCTAGGCTTACACGAAACTTTAGCCCTTTTGACATCTCAGCTGCGACCTGATTCAAACCATAAAGAGGAAATGGGGTTCCTTAAGGATGTCTTCAGTGAAAAGAGTCTCAGCTACCTGATGAAGGTAAAAGTTTATCAATCTACATTTTCCTTGCTGGTTATTTATTCTCAGTTTTCTTGGTTTATCCACAACTTTGCCAAATCTAATTTGGTGTTGTGCAGCATTCTGTGTTGACCAAAACACACATTTATTTAAATGTCAACATGAAGAAAATGCAATAAAAATCAAGGTACTTTGTTCAAACAAAACCATTTCTTCCTGATATAAGATGTTCATGTTGAGTTGTGTGATGGGAATCAAATGAGAAGGGCTGTTTGTAAGGTTTGGTCAGTAGTTAGTTACATCTCATTAGTTTAATTAGTCAAATTAGGAACACTTCATGGTTTACTTGATGCAGTTGCCAAAAAGCAAGTGCTGTACCCAATAGCTGAAAAGCAGCATGAGGTGACTTCATTTTTTCCCTTGTGCTGCTGAAGCTTTAACAGATTCCTTAGCATTAGCAAAAAGAAGACCAAACAAAACCAACACCTCATAGATGAAAAATAACCCCGAGAGGTGATTTTTTCTGATATTTATCTCAGCAAAGTTACAAATAAAAGTATGTGGAATGTTTTTATTTCTTTTAAGAAGCTTTGTATCTTTTTCAGATTCATGAAAAGCTCCGTCATTATGAAAGGCAGAGTCCAACTCCTGTTCTGCACAGCGCAGCAGGATTAGTTGAAGATGTGAGTAAAAACTCCTGATCTCCTTTTTTATCCCTTTTCTCTGTAAATCCACTCTTCCAACAAATCAAAGCCGTTGTGTTCTGTGAGTATTTATATGGGATATATGAGAAGGTATTTCTCTCCTTTCTCAGTTCTCTTGGAAATCTATTGGCAAATTTTATTCATAGCTGGTCAAGGAAATGTCAAAAATACTATGTCATGTTTCCAGTGAAGGCAGACCACAAGTAGAGCAGAGGAAGGATATTAAATGGTGTTCCTGTGGGAGAGGCAGCAAGAGACATCAGGATATTCCACTTAGGAGTTCCATCTCAAGGACATGAGACTGTTACAATCCAGGTTGCGTTGCTGTTCACAGAATGTGTTTGGGTGTCCAGGCTTTGCAGGGTGATAAGGAAACTTTTGTTGCATGATGCACACAAATAATGCCACCTGCTTGCAAACAGTGTTGAAGTGCTTTGTTGCAGAGCGAACACCGGAGGGTTTTTTTTTTTCATGCACTGCTTATGGATTCTGTATGGATTGTATGGAATTATGGACACCTTTTGTTTAGAAGTTGCTCGTTTTTGTTTTGAAGGTAATAGAAGAATTGCAGACTGCACCAGTGACTAATGAAGAAAAAGAGCTGCTTCAGCTGCTGTCAACACCGCATCTCAGGGTAAAGAACCAAACAAACAAACCACCAAAACACACCAGAGAATTGCTCAAGTTTCTTTGCATAACTCCAACAGCATTCTGCACAGGAAAATTACATTGGACAGTCCTAAGAGAAAGCAAAAGCCTTTAGCACCAAATACTGACTTCTTCAGTTACTGTTATCTAGAAGGCCAGTAAGAAACCACCTATTCCTGCTTCAGGGCTTATGTGTAGGATTTTCCCAAGCTTTTGGGGATGTTTCTCTTTCTTTGTGTGTCTGTTTTTATGTTTGCTGTCATGCCTGGAAGGTGAGAATTGGAAGCCATGATGTTGCTCTATTGTGTTACTGTTTCTTACTTGGTTCACACAGGCAATGCTTGTAGTTCATGACACTGTAGCACAGAAGAACTTCGACCCAGTCCTTCCACCTCTGCCAGATAACTTTGATGATGATTTTGATGAAGAATCAGTGAAAATTGTTCGGCTTGTGAAAAATAAAGAGCCCTTGGTACGTATCAGATAATCCACATCTGTCATAACATTCTGTGTTGGCAAGGAGTCATTGTAAATACAGAGGAGGTGCATGAAGGGCACCACCAGGGATTCTACAGAAAGTGGGAGTGCTTTGAAGTAAAACTGCCTGAAAGAACTTTGGTAAATACAGATTCATCATTTTGAACACACACTGTATAGACGTGTTTGTAACTTGCTGGGAATGTTACTTCTGAGGAAACTGTATGTTAAAGTCATTATGCTCATTATATGCAGTAATTTGTGTCATAGCTAGCATACAATGAGTGAATACCTTCCCCTGCACGAGTGTCAGTGATGTATTTTAGGAGTGTGTTTACTAGCTGTATATGAACAGTATATTGACAAGATACAAATAGAAAGAAATGGTTTCCTAAGAAAAAATAATTACAGTGGGGCAGGGGTCTGCTGCAGTGCTTTTTGGAACTGTGTGTGACAGCAGGTAGTGGGAGAGAGCAGAGGCTTAAGTCCTGATTAAAGTTTTATATTGCCAGCAGAGCTTGGAGGTTTAAAGAACTCATAAAACTCTGTAATTCCTTGGCTTTCCTCACCCTTTATGCATAGCAGGGCTGGCTCTGTTGTATAAAGATTCAGAAGACACATAAAGAAAGCACTTTGCAAGGTATTGTTCTGTGTGCTTGAGTCCATATATCACCACCATGACAGTGTGATGTAAACACTGAGCACAGTGATCAGAAAGAGAGGGAGCACTGGGCTTTCCTGCAGCCCTGTGATGTGGCCACCAGCTAAAGTTCAGTAGCAGTGAAAGCTGTGAAGGTGGAAGATGAAACCTGTATGAATTCTAAATGAATTCCAGTTTAGAAGACGTAGTTTATTTCACTGCTTATTATATCCTAAGCAAATTTCTTATGGTTTCTTTTCTGGGGGGGGGGCTATGCTTTATTTCAGGGAGCTACCATCAGAAGAGATGAGCATACAGGGGCTGTGATTGTAGCAAGGATCATGAGAGGTGGTGCAGCTGATCGCAGTGGTAAATTTCGTGAGCAAAACCAGCTCTTTGGGCATGGGTGTTTAAAATACACTTTGATTATTTTATGAAAAAGATAGAGCTCACTTAATTCACTTAATTCATAATAGGAAACTGTTGGATGCCAAGTCTGAACTGGAACGTGTATTCTGTGCAGTCAGTGGAGGGAGACTTACATTGCTGGGGAATTAATCATCCCAGCAGGCCTTGGAATGGGATTCCAATGTTGGAATTGCCTTTCTTCCTCATTGACTGGGAGGGGAGCCTGCATGGCAGGCTCACTTGGCAGCTGAATTTCAAGTGCCTGGTGGCAGGAGAGACTTCCCTCCATAGGCTGCTGTGCACCACGCTTCCAGATTCTACAGGGTTAATTCACGTGGTGTTTGACTTTGTTCTCTAGAAGGTGCTTGTTCAGAGTTTATACAATAAGCTGAATTGGCTTTACGTGTGATTTATAGAATCCAAGCCTCGTGTACTTTTTAATGTACAGGTAATACAATCCCAAAATTAATGAGTTACTGTGATGGAAAAATATTAGCTAATTACAGCTTTTTTCTTGACTGTTACCGTTTTTCATGTTGGCATAATCTGATAAATGTAATGAAATGAGTGGAGCTGTGCTTAGCATTTCCGTATTTCATCAGGAATCTATTATTTTAATTAGATACATTTTTGTTTAAAATAACCACTAGGAAAAATGCCAGCAGAGATGGGAGGAGGAGGTGTAAGTACCAGAGAAAAGGAAAGAGAGGGTTTTAACTTTCAGTCTTACATCTTGGTGTGTTTGGTGTTTTCACTATGTTGTGAGTTGTTTGCTGTTTCCTTTGCTCACAAATTCTTCTCTGTCACTGAACAGTAGTTATACTGTGCACAAATGCAGTATTTCTTACTTCACCAGACAAGCAAATGTAAAATTCTTAAGGGCCTTTTCGTGGCTTGTTTAAAAATCAAGTTGATTCATCCAACAATCTTTCTGGGACTGTGTGGTTTTGATCTGTCAGCTCACAGCCACGTTATTCCTGTCTTTATAGCCAGCACCTGTCTCCTGATGGTACAGGATTTGATCATCCTTGGGAAGCTATTCCAGTTTTTCATTCTTAGTGCTGATCCAAATGTAGAGGAGGTGATTTTCCAAAGTATCTTGCCAAATATCCACTCCCTGCTCCGGTCTTTATGACTCTGGTGCATGAAAAGAACTGCCACATGGATTAAGAGCAGGAGATTTCAGAGCACACTGCCAGCAGAACCACTTGGCTGTAGAGGAAAACCCACTAAGTTGAGAGAGAGAGAGAGGAGGGAGGCACAGGCATTAAACTGGGTCAGATGTCAGAGGAGAGCTGCTCTCCATTCTACAGGCTTTAACTTACTTCTCTTTTCAGGTCTTGTCCACGTTGGAGATGAACTGAGAGAAGTCAATGGTATTGCTGTGCTTCACAAACGACCCGAAGAAATAAGTCAGATTTTGGTCTGCACTGATTTCTGTTTCGAGATCTTTTCTATTGGGTGATCTAGTAATTATGATAGATGCTGAAATTTAACCTTGAGTTTAAGATGTGTGTGTAGAGCTAACAGATGGAATCCCTGCTTGTCTTTACAATAAGAGTTTTTCTTCTCAACGTGGATTATTTAGTCCTCTCCTTTTGACTTCAGAAACTTCCATGGAACTGAATCGGTACCAAGTAAGATACAAATATAAAGTTATGTGTTGCTTTGTCAAGAACATCCCTTTCATGCTTTGTTTATGACAAGCAAATTGCAAATTAAATGTGTATTCTTAATAGAAAAGCAGCTTATTCATGATGTGGTTATGCCAGGGAGCTGAAGAAAGTTAGTTGTGTGCCCATTAGTGCTGTCAGTCTGTCCTTTACTAGCAGATTTCTCAAGGCTTTAGCAGCTCTTGCTCCAAGCTGCTCAAAGCCACAAATCTTTAAGTCTTTCTGAACTCCTACATCTGTGGTCATCCTGTTGTGTTGCAGGAAGTGTCCCAGCTCTTACTCATCTCTGACTCCCCTCTTGCAGCTTGATTCCCTCTCTCCTGTGCTGAGTGGGGTCAGTGATGCAGTGAGAAGAAAACCAACGCTAAGAGGCTGAAAGTGTCTGGCATCAGTTCCATCACCTAACTTAAATTTGTACTCAATTGTACTGGATGAGGAGAATGACTGCTTTTGGTTCAGGGGAAGAAACCAAAACTGTACTTTGAAATCTTGTATGAAGCTGATTTGAGGGGACCCTGGGGTAGTGTTTGTCTGCCCAATTTTAAATGCCTGGATTGTGATGGTTTTCTTTCTATGTTTTGTTTCTGAAGAAGACCTACAACTGTTTGCCCACGCTGATCCCCCTGCTTTCTATTTCTATCTGTGCAGAGTAACAGGCTCCTCTAGGACAGTTATCTCATACAAGGGAATGTGTCTAAAAATAGATCAGATGAACCTATTCTGAATTTTCAAGCACCTACAATCACTTCTTAATTTACTGTAACTGACAAATGATATTTTTTAGCAAAGATGTTTAGAGTGGATGTGTTCACTTAGGGAATGTTTGTATTTGCACCCTAACAAGTAAGAAAAAAGAGCTGCAACCTGGGAAAACAACTGTTTTCTCAGCCAAGCACCTTAAAATATTCAGGCTCCAAAAACCTAAGTTGGTATCAAACTAAAAGCCATGGAAGTTTTTAATACTTCATGAGCTGTAATCCAGAAACGAATGTGATTGCTAAAAGGAAATGAAAGAATTTTAGTGCAAGTCTGAATAGATTCTAGCTGAGGGATTACTGTTGGTGTCTCCAGGGGATTACAGTGCTGTGGAAGATTCATGGAACATCATGACAGTTAAATAGGGGATTAGCTTTGCCTGTTAAAGTTCTGAGAAGAAGACTGACTGGCTCCTAAATTGGGACTTGGATCGTCTGCATTGTCCTTACACTGATTTCAAAGTAAAAAAACATTTTCCTTTCTCTCAGGCACAGTCTCAGGGATCGATAACATTAAAAATAATTCCAGCCATCAAAGAAGAAGATCGTCTAAAAGACAGCAAGGTATGCAGAGCCTGGTAGAATACCAAAGCACGGTTTTCATACTTGCATTTATCTCAGATTCCTGTTGGTTCAGTAAGAATCATCACAGAATGAGACCCATAATGTAACTGAAAAGACAATAGAGCCCCTTCTTGACGTAAAAGATTGTCCATATTGCTCAGTGCAAGTACTCGGGTGAATTCTGTTGTCCTTATCTTGGCACGTGGTCATTCATAATCTAGCTGCTTCTTTTGGTTTGCATAATTAAGCCTGGTGTTCCTGCCAGTCTCCTCTTGCTGTGACAGCTGTTATCTGCCCATTATCACTGGGCATTTTGCCACTCACTTGAGTCAAAACAGATCTGCCCTCTAACAGAGCTGCATTCGTCACTTGGCCGTATCAGGCCTTTGCATTTGGCCTCCTTTATCAGCAATGACTTAATTGTGTCAGTGGTCCCCTCCAGGATTCCTTCTCAACCTCCCTACTTCTCTGCTGTTTGCAGACGAATTCTTCCTTGGAACCCCTCAAATTACATCTAGAAATATTTCTGCTCTGATATATGCAGTAGTGCCAGGATACAAATCCAAAGTTAAGTATCAGATGTTGATTAAAGAAATGTTATAAGTACAGCCTTCACAGTAAAGCTGCTTTGCCATAAATCCCTCTTTATGGTTTTCTCTTTCCCCTTCTATTTTTCCTGTGTTGCATTTTGTGTTTAGGTAGGCTGTGCTTAATTGGGACTTTGAGTTTCACGTTGCACAGGGACAACACATAATGACTGAGTAGGTGCTTGGAAGTTAGTTTATTTTTCTGCATGGTAAGTCAAAATACAAGTGCAGTTTAGCAGGATTCAATATTTTTGAGTACCACAAAGCATAAGAAGGAGAAAAAGTGTATATATTTTTCTAGTTAATGATGTTATTGTCAGAAAAGCACCTTCTTAAGGTACGCTGTAATTCCAAAAAGGACAAGAAGAAAGGATGCGTTACTTTCTTTTGAAGGTGTTTATGAGGGCCCTTTTCTGCTATAATCCCAAAGAAGACAGAGCCATTCCCTGCCAGGAGGCTGGTTTGCCCTTCAAGAGACGACACATCCTGGAGGTTGTAAGCCAAGATGATCCTACATGGTGGCAAGCAAAGCGTGTTGGAGACACCAACCTCAGAGCAGGCTTGATCCCCTCGAAGCAGTTCCAAGAAAGGTTTGTCCATGAAGATTACAGGTTTTTATTGTTTTTATGAATTAACCATATGGTATCACACGTTTTTGTGCTGCTTTCTCTTTTTTTTGCAGGAAATAAAGGGCAGAATCATGCCATGCTTGGAGGACAGTGCTAGAAGGTTTCGTATTCCCCAGTTATATAATGAACTTCCCAGCTTTCTTAGGGTGGTTTCCAGCTGGTTTGTGCTTTGTAGCATGAGAACAGAAGCACTTGCTATAGAAGTGGGCCTGAGATCAAACGTGGAATATATGTCCTTGAACCTCTTGGCTTATGGAGACAGACTGTTTCACAGACTTGTATTTCCATAGCGTGAGGATTTATTCTAACAGTTTTTAGTTTATGCATTAAATAATTGTGCAAGAAAAAGTGTAGCTGATGTTTCTTCTGGTTCCTAAGAGAGTCTTCAGCTTAGACCCAGACATCATCAGGGCTAGAAGGTTTTTCTGTTTTCACAGTAAGATAAAGATATCTTAGGAAACGAAGCAAAAAAATGCTCCTGATGCCTTCTATTTGCAGGACGGCTGTAGATTTAAGAAGGGACCTGATTTGGTCGTATGTGATTCTTACTCCACGCTGCTGGATGCGTCTTCTCTGATTGTAGATGTTGAATCAAAAACAGTTTCTATTTTTTTCAAGGAAAAATGCCGTTTTGTTCTTTGTTTTCAATGATGTATGTGTAACTTATACTACAAATTCTTTTTGATGTGAAGCTTTAATGGTTAAAATGTAATTATTTTCTCTTTAGACGACTGACGTACAGAAGAAGCATGGGCACCCAGCCGAACCCCAGAACTGTGAAGAAGCCATTATGTAAGTCTGTTCAGTCCCTGAAGTGATTTTATAGTTGATTTTCACTTCTCAGGATTTGTTTTTAATGTGTTTTCAATAATAGCACTTTTGTATTTGTCCCGTGTTTTCTGTCACTGGTTGATCTGCGTAGATATGAGTTGCCACATGGGAAGAGTTCAGTTTGAGCTTTATCCAGTGTTACAGGTGCCTGCTGGCTTAAAATCATGGCTGACCTTCTCTTCCTGCTCTCAAGAACGTGAGGCCTTAGGTGGTTTTTTAGATACTTGAGAATTTCTTCGTGTTGACTTCAAATAACCCAGCTGTTAGTGAGGTGTGGGAGAGCCATGAGACTGCATGATGCCACGCTCATGTAGACCAGGAATCTGGAAATAGTCCTCCTTCAGTGCTAGAAGCAAGCTTCTGTCCTGTGATGCTGTGGCACATCTCGTGGAGAAGTGCTCTTGTGCTGTGAAGTGGAGGGCAGATGCTCAACCGAATTATAATACAGCATGAGTCATTTAAGTTAATCTTTCCTGTATCAGTTACATCCAATGTTAGGAGGCACTTAATGAGGGTTGTTACTTATTCAGACATTATCGAGATAATTAAGCAGGTTTTATTATAAAATTATTATCATTTACTACTAAATCTAAAAAAGTCTTTGATCAATTGATAAGGGTACATTACTGCATGTTTTTTGAGATATAAAAGCCTGATAAGCAAATAAAACAGAGGAACCTTCCTTTCCATTCCCTCTAATTCTATGCAGTCATTTGTCAGCCTTTTAATCTTATCAACTCTGTCTTTCATGCTAACTGCAGATGATCAGACTTCTGATAAAGGTAGGTGCCCTCCTAAATCATTCTCTGTCTGAAGGTAACCAGCCAATTCATTTCCTAAAATATTTGGTAAGCCCTCAAGCAAAGGGAGCAGTAGATGGAGCTTATTCATACAGCTGTTTCATCTTGATTTACAATTTAAACTAATTTAATTTGGATTGAGTTAAGCAATGATGGTTTCCAAATATCCCTTTCCTCACCAACTACCCAGATGCATACAGCAGGCACTAAGGTATCTTCCTTCTTTTCTCCCCCCCTTCTCTTCCCCACATCCTCCCCACTTCTTTCTTTGCAGAGGACTGTGACTGTGAGGGATATTTCAATGGACATTACATAGGTGAGAAACCAAAATCCACTTCTTCCCTGCAAGAAAAAACTCCAAACTAATGTACCAATGCTAATTTTCTTTATTAGTAATAGAGTTAATTTCACATACTTTGTGAACTAGTTATCTCTGTCTGAAGGGCTAATTGGACGTTTGCATAACCGGTGCTCAGCAGCTCAAGGTGACTTGAGGAGGTTTTAGCATAGATGGGGGGTGCTTGGTTTTCTACCTGATGCACAGACTGGTCATGGATCAGATCAGCATATGTGCAGTCATTTGATTATTAAAAGAAAAATACTAGAGGGAATGTCTCTATTCAAAGGCAGGACCTTCTAGCTGAACGAGCTTGACAGTGGAAAGAAATGGAGACATGGTTCAGTGCCTCTTCTGCCTTTCCTCCACAGCTGGCTTACGCAGGAGCTTTAGGTTAAGTCGTAAAGAGAAGGAGAACAGTCCTACCGAAGCAAAGCAGGCAGATCAGGCAGATGCTGCAGAGCTCCTAACGTATGAGGAGGTCACAAAGTACCAGCAGCAGCCTGGGGAGCAGCAGAGGCTGATTGTTTTGATTGGTAAGAGGTGGAATTGATCCAGAGTATCACCTTCATCTTTCCCTTTTTGCCTTCACTCCAAAAGCTTTTTATTTTTTATTATAATTATTATTTTGTTGTCTTCTTTTAAATGACAAAAAAAAAAAACCAAAAACCCTCACCAGGATAGACCTCATGGATCGAATGGCTAGAACAGATGTAACTTATTCTCTTTACAGTACTTCCTCCCCACAAGAAATAATCAGACCATTCTCTTTTGTTAGGTTGTTTGGGAGCCAGATTAAACGAGCTCAAGCAGAAAGTTGTGTCAGAGAACCCCCAGGAGTATGGTGTTGCAGTTCCACGTGAGTAGAATTTACTGACACTGTGTTGCCACTTTGTTCCATCCATTCTGTTGAAAAGCTCAGTGCTAGCTGCACTGGGGAATGGGGATTCATTGCATTGATCAGTCAGTGTTTCAGTTGTTGACTATTTGTGTGTGGAAATTGTTTTCTCATCATAAAAGTCTGAGTGGATCTGAGTACAACTTCGTGCACGTGCATAATGTGTTGTATATAACTGAGAATGTAAACTGCTGTAACCAACAGAAGTTTTCCAGCAGAGGGTGAATATCTGCCTAACTGTGGAGCTGGAAGTGCAGACACAAATCAAATCAGAGTTTGCATTTGTTTCTGTTACTTTAAGGGATGCGATTTCGTGTTTGAGAAGAGAATAAACATAAATAAATACTGCATAATATTAGCAGTCTTGAACTCTGAGGGAAGATGTCTGATTTCATATAAGCCATCAAGGACCCAATTCTACAAACAGCCAGGCATGTTCATACTTAAACTTCACAGGCAACACAGCAGAATTTTATCTACTTTCTGTGTTTATTTTCTGAGTTTCAAAGAGCAGGAATCCAATACCCAAACTAACTTCATTTTCAATCCTGTAATGTAGTTTACAGCAAAATACTAACATCACTTATATTTTATGTTAATTTTGACTGCCTTGGTTGAGGTCATGAAAACATGACTGAAACTGAACAGAGATGGTAGCGTTGTCTGCAGAAGCTGACCTGTGTGCTGTGCTTTGCTTCCACTTTCTTTTAGATACAACAAGGTCAAAGAAAAGTCATGAGAAAGAGGGAGTCGAATACAACTTTGTCTCTAAGCAATCATTTGAGACAGATGTGCAGCAAAACAAGTGAGTTAATTTTAAAATACGGATATAACTGATTATGTTTTGAAAATATTGCTAAGTAAATGTAATGTGAATACCAAAATCAGGGAAAACTGGAGGAGCCATTTTGGAAGGGTTCTGTTTTCCAGGAATAACTTTTATTCAGTTTGGACTGTTAGTGTGAAGCAAGAATTATACTGAGAGACAACTTAGAAACAACAGAGGAGAGGTAGGAATACCAGAAGTTAGAATTTAAGCCTGTGATTGATCTGAACTGAGCCTCGTGAAAGTAACAGATACTTAGTTGGTCCTACTTTATTCTTTGTTTAATACGATGGGCAACATGGGGAAATTTAATTCGTAATTCCACTTCAAAGTGAGTTGTAGGCTAAGCTCATCGGTGTGAAGGACTTTCTGTAAGATCAGGCTTGTTTCCTAGAAGTGCAGATTTTGGCTAACCTCCCAGAAGGTGGAAGAATCCAAGTCCATTTCCTTGCCAGCTTTGTTCTATTTCATTTGAGAAACAACTTCTTTGTTTTAGTAGACTTGAGCAGCAGTCAACTGAATCAATGCAGCTTCTTCCCCTGTTTTTCAGTAGTGCTGATTCACTAGCAGTATCATGGGAAGAAGACAACTGTTACTAAGCAACCAAAGGAAAAAATGAGAAAAAGAAACCCTTTTTTTCCCCACCTTCCTTCCCTCCACAACATTTGACCGTTGTGACTTTGGGAAACAGCTATCAGATGTTGAAAGTTAAATGTGCCTTGTGGGCTATATTTAAGAAATATACATTTACTTTTTAGATTTGTGGAACATGGAGAATACAAAGAAAACCTGTATGGCACAAGTCTTGAGGCAATCCGGTCTGTGATGGCCAAAAAGAAGGTTTGTTTGGTGGATGTGGTTCCTGAAGTAAGTTCAGCAGTTTCTTGTAAGGAAAGCAAATATTTCTAGTAATGCTGCCTGCCTGAGTAACAAACATTGTTCACCTTTTGGGGCTGCTTGCTGTGCAGAGAGCAGTGATGTTTTTTGAACACCTTTCTGACAGGTGGCCGGGCTGCTGGCTGAATTGGTTACAAGGAAACCATAATTTGCCTGTCACATCATTCCTTTTGTCCTTTTTTCGTGTCCTTGTTCCTGGGGCTGTGGTGCAGAGCAAGGTGTCCCTGCAGTCAGACCATGCTCACATGCTTTTGTAATACCTGAAAGGATGCTGATGTTAACTTTTTCCTTGAAGAACGAAAGCATGCTGTGGTTAGATGTGGCATGAAAGCCTGGGTGTGACACAAGTGAAACTGTTGAACCCAGCATGAGCAGATCACTGGCGCACAGTGTACGTAATATGACATGAGAAAAGAAAATACATCTGTTCACAGGCAGTGAAGCACTTGAGGACTCCTGAATTTAAGCCTTATGTTATCTTTGTGAAGCCCCTCATTCCAGAAAAGAAAAAAAATGTCCTAAAATCTCCTGTGTCAGAAGAAATCTCGACACCCCTTGTAAGTATTCTAACCTTAATCTCTATTTTGCAGTGTGAGAGAAGTGCCTTAGCTCCCTCTTGTCATATGTTTCTTCCCCCTCCCTAATGCTTCTTGCTCCTTCATCTCAGCTCCCAGATCTCTCCTCCCCTTTCCTAACGCTTTGGTTCATTTCTTGCAAAGTCATGATGTAGTGTGCTAGCATCCATAAAAATGCTAATAAGTAATTACAGATGCTTACTGAAAACATCAAATCATCTTCTTGTGTTGGTCAGCAGGATGAAGAGCAGCAGGAAATTATAAATTCAGCAGCATTCATCGAAGAGCACTATGGGCATTTAATTGACACTACGCTGGTGAAAGAAGATCTCCAGAGTGCATGTAATCAGCTTAAAACTGTGCTAGATAAGCTAAACAAGGATTCATTTTGGGTGCCAGTCAGCTGGGTTAGGTCATAGTTTGCTATCATCCGTTCAAAGGAAAGAGTTTATTTAAAAAGCCTTGTAAATATATGGATGACAAAAGGGAAATGTGTTGATTTCACTGCAAAACTGCCATTCTCTCTAGAAAGTAATATGTAAAGACTACAGGGGAAAAATAAAGTCAGAAGCTGATACTGCCTTCTTGAATTGGAATCCTGAGTACCAGCTGTGCACTCTCAGCCTGAACAGGTTAGTAAAAGACTGGAGTGACTTTTAGACTGCAAATATTGCACTTTGTAAGGGAAAAATGTGCAGAGGGTCCCATACTCCAAAAGCACTGAAGCGATGTTAGAAGCTTCAGCGTTTGGCCAGACCTCGTGTGGCATCTGAACAAGATTCTTCATCCAGGAGCAAGTCTGCTACTTCAGGGTTGAGGGAGAGAGCCCTCACCCTGTCAGTTCCTTTAATGTCCAGCTGGCTTTCTTCCACTCAGTATTTCTGGTTGCAAACCCTTTCTAATTAGGCTAACTAGACTGGCTCAGTAAATCGTCTTTGTTTTAGCAGCTGAGGGGTGGCGGTGGGACTTTTGTTCGTGTTGTTGGTTCTGTTTTTCAAGCTCAGCCCTTTCCCGTGCTTCTGGCTGTCTTGCATAGGTAGTAATTAGTCTGCTCAGCTATGGCTTTTGCCCGCTTTCCCAGTCGCTCTCTTCCTAACAGCACAGGATAGATGTTAAGCAGCCTGTAAACATACCTGTGTGATTGATCCAGCTCATAACCCGGGGATGTTCTTTAGCCTACCTGAAAAGTGTGTATGGTGTAAAACACGACTTGAAGAAGCTTATTTTCTACAAGGCATCTTTGCAAATGCCAGCTGCTGGGGCGCCACGTGGACAGCAACAGAGCAGCTCTGCAAAGGCTGCCAGGAGAGGAGGCTGAAACGCCAGGAAGCTGAGCTACAGCACTGAATCATCATTCTCCCAGCACTTAGGAAAACCTTTGTTACAAATCAAGTGAAGGCAACCTTATGTTACCTTTGTGGCATGGCACTTGGCTCCATCACGTCTTGAAGAGGAAATTTTATCTGTTGGAGGACTTGGCAGAAAGAATATGCAGCTTTTTAAGGTGGGCAGGTCCAAGAAAACGCATTGATTTTGTGAGTGCAGTGCAGGTGTGTATTACCTGAAACTTGTTCCTGTTTTCCATTGCCTGTTGAGTTCTAATCTTTCCTCTGTACTGTGCCCTCTAACAACACCTTCTGGTACACTGGTCTCATTCTTTTAACAGTGTGATGTTATTCTTGTTCCAGAGCATTCAGCAAAACTGACACCATTACTTATTAAAAGTGTATTTCTTATTTAGTGTCTCCGAATCTACATTAACTCCAGCCCAAAAAGTTGTCTGTCCATCTTCTCCGAATGCTAACTTCTAAGTATCACCCTGCAAAGAACAGCACTTCCTGCAGTCTGCTAGAACTGCTCTGGCTTGTCAGAAAACATGCTGCCAGACTGGAAGCCTCCCAGCAGCTGTACAAGGATTCCCTCATGTGGTTGTGGCCCATCAGCTCTGCCAATAAGCTGCTGCAGCTTTGGCCCAGCACAGCCACCAAAGGGATGTGAGTAGGAAGAGACAGGAAAAAAAAAATGAGTGCAGTAGTTTAACAGCATCTCAAGCTAAGCAGATTTATTAAAATATCAATCAATATCACACCAGATCGATCTCACCACAGGATATATATTGCAGTTTTCAGGGTAAAATATACAACTCCCATTAAACATGACCTAAAATATTCAGTGTCAGTTAAATAATCTTTTTTTTTTTTGAGTTATGTGCAGATATTCCACATTGAGGTACACTCCCACAGATCATAACTTAGATACTATCAGAAACATTTGTTTCGCTTTTCTGATTGAGGACTTTTTTAGGTTCAAAGTAAATGATGGGGAGAGAATATGGAAATGCGTAGTAAAGAAGAACAGTCAGTGCTTCTGTGTATTCTCCTCTTTATTCTGACAGTCTCAGGAAAAGGCACACGTAACAGATGTCTGTTTCCAGGACAAGATTCCAATTCAGACAACACCGAGTCAAGGCCAGGCCTGGTTTGTGCTCTGCAGTAAGGAGGGGCAAAAAGAAGAGATTATAAAGAAAGTCAGCATGCAAACTTCCTTGAGTTTGAAGTCCTGCTTTGTAAGCGGTACCAGCAACCCCAAGTCAAAATATTTCAGCAAACTGAACCTCTTTCTCCCTTCTCCCTCTCTCTCCCTCCCTTGCCCATGCTTGAAATTAATGTAGCCTTTCCTATTTGTAGTGTGCAAGGAAGAGCTGTGCTAAACAGCCACAGTACCTGAGGTTGTCAGACAGCTCCCTGTCCTTACACTGACTGCATCTGAACTGCTTTCCTTTCTCAAATGAGTTGAGCAGAGTACAGCCAGGGAACGCTCAGGCACACAGCTTATTCAAAACCAGGTGAGTTTGTCTCCAGCCACATTTGTTGTTAGGATTGAGATGGCAATTTACTATGGAACATACACATTTCACATGTGCACGGATTAGAATCCTGCTACGTCCACCCCAGCTTCTTTGTTTTCAGGAAATGGCACCTGATGTATAAAAACATACCTCAGTCTCTTGGGAGGAGATGCAGCATTGTTTGGCAGTCTATTTAAACTGTCTCATGTTCTGCCAAGGAAAAAAGATTGATGGGTTTTATCACCAAGTCTAATTATGCATTGTTAAACAAACACAACACCTAAGGAAGTACGCTTCATCCTTTTTTCCTGCCCTTACCCATCCGCTTCATCTCCTGCCTATTACTCACTTACTCAACCCAGGACTCAGTTGTGGTGGCTTTAGGTACATCCATACCTGAGAACTTTAAGATACCTTAACCCCAGTTGTCAGAGGTATACAAAAATTCAGCTACGTGCCTGCCATTCCATTTCAAACTTCTTTTGATCGTAGGTAGGCTTACTGTTAGCAAGCCTTTTCAGGAGTCCATGATTTTCCACCGTGATGGTCATTATTTTCCTGTTCTGTTTATCACTTGTTGACCTGGGAGCAGAAATGAACACCTTTGTAAAAACAAATAGGAAGGAGAGGACATGTGGAAAAAGCACCCTTCTTCCCCCCCGTACACCTGGAAGGAAGGGTAGAACAGCAGCTACCTTCTGTAAAAGCATTTATTCCAACAATCCACCTTTGCCGGCCCTCGTTGGATGGCAGCAAGGTTCTCAAGGAGCTTCTTATTGTCTCTTTCAATCTGATTGATTCGCTTTTGATCCTCCTGTGCAAGAGAAAGTTTGCAGTGCTGTTCTCATGAGACTCTTTCCTGGGCTGGCTCTCACTGTTACGTTGCCCATTTATGTTTGAAAACAAACACCTCAATTCTCAACCATATCCCCAAAGCAGCAGGCTCTGGAGCTGTGCTTTGTCACTGCTTCCTTGCTTTCCTCTCCCAGCTCCATGATGTATTAGATACATAAACAAACTTGACACGAAAGCAGTAACGCATTCTGTTTTCTTTTTCTTGCCCTTACCCCTCCTCACATGAATTCTGTCATCCTGCTCTCTGTGTTCCAGCAGATTCCCTGCTACCTGAAGCACTGTTATCACACAGATGTGGGGTTACAAATACCTGAATCTTCCTCAGGTTAACATGCTGCCAGCTCTGTGCATGCGAAGCCGTTTTATCCACCCAATGTCTTGCTTGAAAGACACAGGAAAAAAAAAGAAAAAAAAAAAAGAAAAAAGAAAAAAAACAAAACACCTGAAGTGAAAACAAGTTTTGTGATATTACCGAGCCCCAACTCCCTCCATGCAGCCTTTCTCTGGTCAGCAACACGAGTCAGATGGCCCACAGCACCCAGTTTTGTCTTCGTCCCAGCTCTCAGACTACGCTGACGTAATTTCACCCACGTTCACCAGCTAAGAACTCATCTTTCTTCTCTCCAGTCTTGTCCTCAACCCCAGGAAACATAGGAAAGCGACCCACCTTAGTGGCCTGTCGCCAGAACACCACCACAACCAGCAGAGGCCATTTTACACCCCACAGAGCAGCAGTCATTTATCTCCCCCTGTTCCCATACATCCCTCCCACCTGTTCCTTTGACTTTGTTCAAGTTGCCACAGACTCCCATCTTCCAAATTTGACTTTCCAGTCTCCTTGGGGTGGTCATGCTCTTGCTTGCAGCGGTACTTGGAGATTCCAGCCCTTGAATTATGACACACACTGCTCATAGATGGGTAGGATTCCATCCCTTGGTGAGCAGCTTGCAGCATGCACACCCAGCTGCTGTAGGGCAACCAGCTGAAACTTCTGCTCTTGGAAGTGGATACAATGAACGTTATTTCGCAGGGGTGTTTTAAAGACTGAAAGGAGGAGGTAGGTATGAAGGAGCACTCCTTCAGCTGGCTTTATCAATGGAAACATCTGCTCAAAGCCATCAAACACCACAATAGCATCTGTCATCACCTTCCTCAGACTGACTGCAATAGAGGCGATATGTGATCCATTGCAAGACAAAGAAAAACAGATGTAAAAACCCAATAAAGGCATTTTATTCTCTTGTGACAGTTTCTTATGCATGCTTTTCACAGATGAAAACAGCTCCAGAGCATTTATACAGAACAAGCTGCAATAGTTGCAAAGGAAAGCTGAAGTTTGTACACCTTGCATTCAGCTGCTGTACAGCAGCATTAATGGTGCTGTATTAATCCCTGGTGTCACTCAGGAAAGCCCTCCTAATAATTTAACTTGATAGCAATGGATTAAAATGTGCACCCTAAGCAAGGCAACATTTCTGTTCCAGTCTGACAACATCCTGTAATGACAGAACATCTTTGGATTTGTCATTTATCTCCTAACGCTCCAGCTTCCATTTTAAACACTTTTAACATCCCCAAGTTTTTACTTAGTACTGTTACCATGTTACCTAACAAAGCCTTCCTAACAGTATTGCTACCAAACCCAGAACCAAAGCATCCTACAAGACTCAAAGCTTGTTTTCAAGAAAAGGCAGTGAGTTTTGGAGCAGAGAGAAGGTAAAAAGCAGCAGCTATCTTGTAGAACTTCATCATGAGATCGGCAATGGACACACTCTTGTTCCTGCACAACCTTCCATCACCAGCACATTCTATACTGAACCCACTTCTCACCCTGCAATTGCTGAATCAGAGTAGAAACCCAGGTTTGCAGACTATTCTGTCAACTGCAGAAGTACCCACGCTGTCAGCTGGCCCAAAATGATGACTCCAAAGCACCTCTGATCCTCAGCACGACGCAGTGAAGAGCAGCAAGGGATAACCTACAGTGTACAGCACAGGAAGCATTTGCTTCCTGCAGAATGTTACTGAATGTGACTGTTCACTACAAACCTCACATTTAGCAGCAACTCAGCTTGTTGTCTGCAGACCCACAGTGATTCTGACTGCTTAAAACCATCTGAAATAGAGTGGAAATGTCACTGCTTAGGGTGACTCCTGAGCAGGGAGTGCATTAAAGAGAAGCTGGCAGCCTGAAAGACTCCTGTGCCACTTTGGGGAGGAGAAGCTTTACAGCAACATTCCAAAATGGAAAACTCTTATGCCAAGGCAGGAATTCTAGAAAAAGTAAATGTCAAATGCCAAAAGCATACTGTAAGAGTATGATTTACTAGTAACAAATCTGAGTTATCAGAAAAAGCATTAAATTGATACCTGCAGATATCAGATGTGCATAACAGAAAGAAACTGTACTTTGTTAGTGAATAAAAGAGTGTTTTGTTAATCAGTTTGGTATCAAATCTACACAACTGTAGCAGGTCAAACAAGGCACAGAGCAGCTCCTGAAAGCCCTCAGTGTATTCTTCTGAACTGCACTCCGTTTGGACAGAACAGCCACCTGCAGACTTAAGAAAGTGGACAGTATGCAGTGCACACGCTTTTCTCCTGCTGTGACGATTCCTTTAGCTGGACTCTTTTCTTCTCTGTGCTTTTATCCAAAAGATTTGGCGTCTGCAGGATCTTTATCACTAGTTCCTCAAAGGCATGCTGCACTCCATCCTCTGTTTTGGCACTGGTCTCTGTGGGCAGGAAGAAAAAAGAGGGAAAAAAAAAAACAATAAAAATCAAAGACTTCATCTTATTTGCAAGCCTCCAGCCTCTCAGACTGAGAGTTTTAAAGATGACCTTAAAAAAATTCATGAGGATATAGAACTCGTGCCTACACAGCGCATGAAGGAATCTCACTGTCAGAAAAAAAGGCACTGTCAGTTACAGAACAACACACAAACAATCCATGAACATAAGCACTTCTGGCACGGTTCCATACCTACAAACAGCAACGAGCGTTTCTTAGCAAACTGGAGTCCCTCTCTTCTCTCTACTTCCCGATCAGGCTGCAGAGATGAATGAAGAAATGACTCAAGTGAGCTATATTTGCAAGCTTAAGGAACTCCCTGGAAAAGCAGCACTGTAGAATTGAAGTTTTTTGCTGGAAAGAAAGAAAAAGTCTTATAAAATCATGTCACAGCCATCAACTGAATATCCCTCCCTCTACAGTCAGCTCAAAAGCATTAAGTAGTATTGGTGCCAGGCAGAGCCAACGGAGGGTCAAACTGAAGAGCAACAACACCGAATCAGCAGGAAATTAAGAAGTTGTTATCTTCTGAATCAAGGGGGAGCAAAGGAAACACCAGAAAGGAAGTTACAATAGTCAAACAGCTGAAGAAGCATACCAAAGATGTTGAAATTTGTCAGACTGGGTAAGTGGAAAAGGAGGATTTCCCCAAAATCCCAAGACAAGTACAAAGTGCTCCATGCAGATACACAGGCAGCTAAGAATTCCAACTACCTACTTCAGGATAGCCTGAAGTAAAGCAAGAGTGAAACACATCTCACTAAGCAATGTGCATCTAGGATATGTCAAAAATGCCCAGAGATGTTCAGGGGTGTGTGCACCTCACCCACACAGATGTATGATTAACAGCCAGCTGATGGTAAGAGCAGAATCCTTCCCCACCACCTGCCCAAGGCACGGTTGGCTCAAAGAGGCAGAGGAGCTGTTCTGTTGCACTGCTGTTAAATTAAAAGGTATTTCACAGTGCCCAGCCAGAAACTTCCACTGTTTTCCAGTAATTGAAATCTCTCTCATTAATTGCATCTCTTCGGGAGCACATCCACAAAATTCCAATACGAGCTGCTTCTCAAATGAGGCAGCAAAAAGAGCCTCCCCAGCCCAAGTTCCAGAGCCCATCACCTCCTCACACAAGAAATGCAATCGTTTCAGAGCTTATCTCACATTTATTCTGTCTCATGATTGAGTCGCCTGCAGAAGAGTGTAAGACGATGCATTTCTGAACTGACCTTATCAGTTTTATTGCCAACCAACATCTTCACAGCGTCGCTTTTGGTGGTGTATATCTCCAGCTCGTTCAGCCAGCTCTCTAAGCCTGTGAAAGTGTCTTTCCTTGTAACATCATACACTGGTAAAGGAAGAAAAGGAGCTTAGCAGTTGCAAAGTCTTGATCAGCGCTTACTTCATCACGGCACTGAGGCCAGAAAAATAATATTCTGCACCTTCAGCCCTCACAAGCCCTGAGAACAACTCCCTTCTTTTCCTAATTGGTGTTCACACTGAAAAAGACTAAGCAGGTATTCCTTGTGCTGCAAATCTCGTCTTCTATAGCAAACCACATCAGTCATCAGTAACAAATAAATACAGATAAACAGTAAAGCCGCTAAGGGAAACAAAAGGCAAAACCCAATGTTCCCTTCTAACCAGAAATTCACCAGAACAGTTACTACAAAGCTGACGATTCACCCGACGGTTTGCAGGGTGACTTGGCTGAAACGCAAAACGTTTGGAAACAGCAGAATTTCCCAGCAGCAGTTTTGCAAACTCAGAGTTTGAGCGAAGGATTCAAAGCGCTGCGAAACAAAACCCAGCTGTTCCCCTGATTCTCTCAGTCCCCTTTTGCAGTTTAGATTGTAAAACCAAGCTTCCTGCAGTCACATTTCCCTCCCATACTCCTCCTACCTAAAACAATCCCTTGAGTTCCTCGGTAATAACTGGGATTCAGTGACCTAAAGCGCTCTTGGCCTGCTGTGTCCTTGGGGGAAAAAAAAAGAAAACACACACAAACAACAAGAAAACAACACAAAAAATGAGCAGTTTTATTCAATTATTGCTAAGTTGTGTCACTCTCTCTCTAGAGTCTTCCAAATACTCCACTCTACGCAGAACAAACAATAAGAAGGCAAAAAAGTGACAGCGTTTATTATTGTTACCAAAGAAGTGTTTAGATTTACGTGCAGATTGTCATAGGCAGACCAACAGCTATGATATCATTTATTTCTACTTTATTACACCTGGCAGTGTATTCACTTAGTACAGGTTATGCTTACTAAGGAGGTTATAATGAACCCATAGATACTAAAGTCAAAGCTTCTCCTTCACTTTGATGCTTGGTACAAGCATCGAAGCTTTTATTTAACATTCTCCAAGCACCAGTTTTCCCTTCCAGCTCATCAGCAGCCTCTCCAGATGGCTGTTACCGCTGTAAAGCTCCTTTTCCAGCTATATAACCTGTGTAGGTTTCCATTCCACAACAAGCAGGCCCACCCCTGCATGGTTATGAGGTTTCCTATTAGTCCCAGCAAGGCTCTGCTCAGAACACAGCCAGCGCACACAGCTGGAACAGTTGCAACCTCAACAGTCCCACTCTACCTCCCATACACAGAGCCATAAAGAAAAACCAAGAAATAACACAAGTTCTGATGCCAATATTCCCTGTGTTACCACCAGCCCTAGGCACGTTTCTTTCCAGTAGTCCCAATGGCTTAATCCAGAATGGAGCGTTCTTTCTTAAATACTTATGCCCCAACACCTGAAAAACCCTTCATGGGCCTACAGTCCATCTAGGAGAAAACACTCAGTGCTTTAATAACATTACAGGTAAACCTGAACACACTCTGCACTCCGATTTCCCAGTTTTCACACGCTGGAAACACAGCACCAGAAGTTTGAAGCAACCAAAATAAAGCATCCGCTGTGCATCCGGTACAGCACACAGACTGTTTGCTGCACAGCCCCCACAGGAGATCTCTACGTTCCCACATCTGCCCCAAACCAAACCTACCCATATTGCAAGCTGCACCGTGTGGCCATCTACCACCATCTTCTTCACTTTAAAATCAACACCTAAGATGCAAAATAAGAGGGGAAAGGCTGGGGGAACAACGCGGAGGAACAGCGGTGCCTGCAGCTCCTCACAGCCCCATCCCTCACAGCACTCCTTGTCCATTGACCCCATCCCTTCACAGCATCCCATCCCCTCACACCAATATCCCCTCGCAGCCTCATCCTCGACCCCTCA